CTTGGCGCTTCAGTTTTGGAGGAAGTCTCGCGCGAAATGCTTGTTTTGGAGACTTGGCGCTTCACTTTTGGAGGAAGTCTCGTAAGAGCCGCTCGTTTTGGAGACTTTGCGCTTCACTTTTGGAGGAAGTCTCGTCCGAAACGCTCGTTTTGGAGACTTGGCGCTTCACTTTTGGAGGAAGTCTCGTAAGAGCCGCTCGTTTTGGAGACTTGGCGCTTCACTTTTGGAGGCAGTCTTGTACGAAACGCTCATCTTGGAGACTTGGCGCTTCACTTTTGGAGGAAGTCTTGTACGAAACGCTCGTTTTGGAGACTTTGCGCTTCACTTTTGGAGGAAGTCTCGTGCGAAACGCTCGTTTTGGAGACTTGGCGCTTCACTTTTGGAGGAAGTCTCGTAAGAACCGCTCGTTTTGGAGACTTGGCGCTTCACTTTTGGAGGAAGTCTCGTACGAAACGTTCGTTTTGGAGACTTGGCGCTTCACTTTTGGAGGAAGTCTCGTACGAAATGCTCGTTTGGGAGACTTGGCGCTTCACTTTTCTGTTGGCACCGACGTGCATGTCTGGCAATGGACCACTATTTAGTCATGGTCTGGCTCCAACCTTTGTGATACATTGCTAGCCCAAAAACATGTAATGTTACCATACATGTTACCGACAAACGGTTCATCCCTCAGTTTCGTTTTCGCTTGGAACCCTTTCGTTGTAATGCTTACTCCTACTATGCTTTCGGGCCACCCTGTCGCCTAGTTTAAAGCGGGCGCAACGGTTGAAGTTGTGAAGGCAAAGACAAGATGTTTGCCCGACATTGTCTTTCCAGCAAGACGGGTGTTTCTTCCCCGCTTTGTTCCTTGCCTTTTTGCGTGGTACCTTTTGTTTCAGGTTGGACAAGCAACTGTCGCACAATGTCCCAGTGGCAACACCCAGGTGCAGCCGCTGGAGTGGACGCGCGGAGCTCAAGATGAAAACTTCAAGTAAATTTCCCTAACATCTAGGAACCAAATGAATAGTGCGTGAGCTTTCCTGCGTCCAGTAGGTAGTAGCGTCATACTGAATGGCTACTAGCCTTTCTTAATTAAGTAATCGCCTACTTAGCTAAGTAAGGGCGCGCGAAGTTCCTTTCTGTCCCACGAACTGCATTTTGGTGACGAAAGGTGTTATCGATCTGAGGCCGCCAGATTGCGAGTGTCCAGATCCTTCGCCCGTACCAGAAGGATATTTGAAGCGCGAACCTAGGAGACGTTTCTTCCAAACGCCTCACCAATCGACCAAACAAAGTCTCAAGTCTCTCAAGATCCCGTGTTTGTTCAACGGCCCAGTGGCCCGGTGGCACCTGGTCGCTGGAGCAGGTCTGAAAGTGGCTGGCATTGCGCTCCAGGCTTCGTTGGCCAAGCTCCTGAGCTTAATTTGGCTGTGTTCACGTGTTCTGAGGTCTGTTTGAATCTTCCCTTTCTTTGTGCTCTGTTTTGTTCCCTAGGATAGCTATAGCCATGGGGTTATTTATTGCTTCAGATACAAGTAGTATCCATGGTAACTTGTCCTCTATGAAATGCGGTGACAACCCCCAATCTAAAACGTAATATGGTTTAGTGCTTGGGGGATACAGTACTGATGTTAATAGAGAGGTGGTTTTATAGAGAGATTTGCGTTGCCACGTAAGTTGTTGATCTGATGCAGAGAGCTAGAGTTTGAGATGTGTTCATGTTGCTGAGAGTTGGAAGTTGAAGCCATTTGGCTGACACGAAAAAAAGAAGCTGGCGAGCAACAAATGGAGACAGACAGTGTCACATCGTAATTAAATCATGATTTCCACACGTATGAAAAATCGCAAATAGAAAAGCATAAAGTAATATTCACATCCAGGTTGCAGACATCTGAAATGCTGTAGATGTGCGTGAGCTTTTTGGTCACAAACTTCAGACATTGAGGCCCATGTCAGCAGACACTGGCAGCCACCCCTTCTCTATAAATGGCCCTACCTCACCGTTGCATAAAACCCTACCTCGCCATTGCATAAAAAGGTCCACGCGCCCACCTACTGCCCTGTTGGGCAGGGTAGAGTGTCTGGCCTGATCGAACCAGGCCACCACAGGCTGTGGATTTACATCCAAGTTGCGCGCAAGTCGACTGTTGGCAAGACACAACCAAGCACACAAAATGACATCAGAACAGAAGAAAGTCTCACGATGGTGGGCAGTGGACAGGGTTCATGGAGTTCAAGTGGAGGAAGGTTCCCAGAGAAGTGAGCCTGATGGTGCGCAGAGGATCAGATGAAGTCAAGGAAGAAGACGTCGCCGCAGAAGAGGTGTCTGATGGAGCAGAGTGGAGCAATGCGCGCGGCGCATGTGCGGCCGAAGCCCTCAGTAGATTTCTGAGCGTCTTCGACGAGACGGAGCCGGAACCGACTATACTTCCTTGACTTTGCCTACGCCTGGGGAGCTACACGCGTGTGTAGCACTCCTTTGCGCCAAATCCAAAGATCAATGGCTGCAAGATCCTGGGGTGGTGGATGCTGGCATGGTGGCGGTGTCAAGACATATGCATCCTGGGCAACTGTCTGTGGAAGGTTCAGTCAAGCCTTCGACTTTGCGCTCGTCGCAGACGCCGACCTCGTGGCTGGGAAAGAAGGCAACTGGCAGTCAGTGCATAGTTGCCAGTTTGCGCAGACTTAGCGAAATTTGCCGCTCCACTTTCGTGGGCGTGGATGCTGGGCAGCGCTGCAGAGGAGCGCTGGCAGAAGTTTGTTTTGAGCGCCCGCCCGGTGGCTCTGTCTGCGCGGACAGAGGCAAAAGCCGCGCGCGCGGCAAGTCTTGCTCGGAGACGCAGAGCTACAGGAGCCAAAAGAGCATTGCCTTAGATTCACGTTTGCAGGGCGCAACAACGCCATCCGGTGGAACGCAACGGAAAACGTGTTGGTTGATTGCGCGACCAAAGAACTTGATGCAAGCCGTCTCCCAAAAGTCTTCAACGGTGGTTGTACTAGAAAGTTCTTGTCTGTACAGACATTGGTTCTCAGCCTTCGACTGATCGGATCTTCAACGCTTCCTCTGACTCCGATGGCAAAGACATCCCGCGCTGCGTCAGTGTGAAGCTTCATGGGCTCAAATTTCAAAGCAAAGCTTGATCGCTGCTCTGCCTTTCACAGCAAATCATTGGCTCACAGCAGGGCCTCGACGGCTTGGAGCCGTCGTCTGACCAAAGGAATTGCTGAGTCCAAAGATGACGGTTGCCAGCCACAGCAGTGCACAGATTTGCAAAGTCACTTTTACCAGCACCGTGGACGGTCTGCCAATCCGAACACTCTCTTTTCGCAGGCCCGAACCATTCATCTTCCGACTTGGCTATAGATAGAGCACGCCCTTGACTTGATGTCTGCGCTAGTCATCATTCTGGCTGCAAATGGCCAGGAGAAGGTGCTGCGACCGAGATGCAGTAGGCACGTCGCAACGCAAGCCATAAAGGGAGATACCTTGGTACCCTGACCGAGCATTCGCCCAAGCCTCACTACATCAAACAGACCTCCAAAGACGAGAGGACTTTGAACGGTGGAAACAGCTCGGTTGAGCAGGTGAGAAGTGATTTGCGCATGGCGTTTGACCACGCCTCACGAATGTTTTGCATTTTTTAAAGCTGGCTGAAAGAGTAGGATGGCATAAGTTGAATGAACAGCTAGAGTGCGGACGTCGACGATCAGGGAGCTCCGACAGCCAACGCACAGAATTCGAAGTGCGGCCGCCATCTTGGTCACTGTGTTCAGCAGCCATCCGACCCTGAAAAGCGACAAGAAAATAGGATGAACTGTGAACGCAGTTCTTTCCCTTCAGTGTCGAGTGAGCGTGCGCATGCCCGCTGGCTTACAGGCCTCACATATACTTCGGCTCCGTGGGAGGAGAAACCGTTGCGCTTAGAGACCTTGTGTGCTCTGTCGTTTAGATTTGAAACGAGTTGGTCGTGTGCACTTTGGAGACTGGGTGTTTTTGCAGGTGCTGTCGGTCATGTGCTGTTCGGGGTACCTAGGTTACAGCATACCAATGACATGTTTCGGGAAAAAGGTGGTGACTTGCTGCTGAGGGAACACTTTTCGACTGCAATGTTCAAAACACATTGACAAGACCTGTCTAAGTAGGAACTTAACCATCAAAACACCTTGTTGGAAAACCCGATGCGTGTAGCACTTTGATTCTACTTCTTGCCGTCCAGGCGGTGAAGTCTTGCAATAGCACGCGGAGCTGTGACTTGGCAGAAATGACCACACCATTAAGATGATAACCAGCGAAACCACAAAAATTGCAACATTCTGCCAGCCTACCACCTCAAAAAGACAAACCGGACCCTAACATGACATTGGAAACGGTATGAAAGCGGAACTTCATCAAAGAACTGCTATTCCGCTACCAATCTCTTAGTCCGGCACTCCTTTGTGTTGTGGTCCGACAGTCCTTGTTGATCTTCCTTATTTTTGTTTCTATTCCATGACTGGAAGTGAGTCGGTCTACCCAGAAATATGATTTGATTGACCCGAGTCACTTCTGTTTTCTTCACCGTTCCATCAATTCAGAGAGCGATGGACTGTCGTGATGTGCTGCACCTCGCATCTCGCACAATTTGTCCCCTCTCCCCGCAAACAAAAATTGCAAAACCGGTTTTGTCCCTATGGTTTTCTTAAGGGCACCTTGAAGACATTTTTTGCACACAATATCAGGAACGTGTGACACGTAAAGTCTGGTTTTCACTTTGTGTTGCCACCTTCATCACTCTTTGTTTTCGTGTTTGCGAAGGGCACTGTGATCATGCTTCGAACTTCGAGCTGTGGTGTTTGCTGCTCGGGAAATGTGGTGATTCCCGTGGGATGCGGGGAATACTTGATGTTGGGAACGGGTAAAACTAACTTAGGAACAAGTGCATCGCTACTAGTAACAAGTGCCTTACTAGTAGTAACAAGAAGCTATTAGAAACAAATTTGGCAGTTACTTGTCGCGCCAGTGACATGCCACGGTTCACCGCTACGCCCACGGTGTGCGAAGAAGCGGAACAGTGCGCACGACCGTGTGCAAGGTGACCGTCTGGAGCTCGCAAAACTCAAAGCGCAAAGCCGGCTACGCTTTTGCTCTTATCGTTTTTTGCTTTGGCGTTTTCCCCTCCAGTTTTGTGTTTTTTCACTCTTGTCACCCAGATTGCCAATTTCGGAAAGCAACGCGACAAGCAAGATGCGGCGTAGCGACTGCTTACGCAGCACAGCGATTGACACTGTGTGGTTTTCTGGTGTGGTTGGAGTGCTTTTGAGGGACATCCTGCAATTTTCAGGGCAAACATGGCCCTTAGTGACACTAGCGACACGTGTTGTAGCGATCCCTTGCAAAGTGCGGACAGAATATGCGGACACATTGGACACATCATTCACCACTTTAGCACAGTGCCGCAGCCGGATGTTACACGTTGTGACACATGTTGTGACCGCGTTTAAATGCGCTAAACAAGTTTGGAAGAAGCGATGCACTTGTTCCTAGTAGCTTCTTGTTACTACTAGTAAGGCACTTGTTCCTAGTAGCGATGCACTTGTTACTAGTAGCTGACAAGTTTGGCTCCATGTTTCAGGTTTCAACGCTCCGAATTTGTGGGGCTGTGCGAAAGTGCATGGCTGCCTTCCCCTGGTGTGGGCCTCAGACAAGACGTGCAAAACCCTTCTGACAAGACGACTCCAAACTCCGGGGGGTAGGTACTACGTACGGCATAGCTACTAAGCTACAAAGATACTAAGCTAGATTCTTAGAAATGCCAGGTCCGCCCTATGTTTCTTTGAACCTCTTCCTTCTTCGCTTCGCTTCTCCTTCTTCCACCAGGAGCTGGACAATTGCGAATTTGATTTCTCGAATTGCTCCGACGTGGCCAGTGGCGAATCGTGTGAGATCAAATGCAACCTGCCCTACGTGTCAGTGGATGCTTGGTGCATACTCTACATGTTGAGTCAATACTAGTGTACTTCTAGTAGTCTGTCGAAACACATGGTCGTAGGAGCCGTGAAGTTGAGTGCCTCCTGTAGAGGATAAGCTTTTGTACCAGGAATGAAGCCAGGCTGCACGCAGTTTCAACGCGCGCACAACATTTGGAACCTGCCAATCTGAAAAGAGACAAACGGCACAGAAGTGAATGAACTGAATAGAGACAAATGGGGCATGGATGAGAATTGGATAGGGGTGGAATTCCAAAGACTCTATTTGGAAACGAATGCCAAAAAAGGGCAAGCGCCGCGAGTGAAAGCAAGAAGCACCAAACGTGTAGATTTTTATTTTGATTTTGGGGGGTAGGCCGCAGTAGTTGCTTACCAAGTAGCTAGGTAAGTAGAAAGGGGTAAGAAACTACTAGTGATAGTAGCTACTAGCTACTGGACGCAGGAAAGCTCATTCATGCTTCTTCAAGGAAGCTCGAGGGAGCGCTCGCACTATTCATGTGCTTCCTAGATCCTTAGGGACGCTTGCTCTTCGATTTCAGGATGGCTCAATGGGATATGCGAATTGTCCTGCAGAGAATGTGGACCGCTTCCAGATGATGACTTGGACCTTGCCCAAATGCCGTTTCTTGAATCAAGAAGCTGCGCGACAGTTTGGAAGCAAGGAGAGACAGTAAGATTTTTAGATCGGTTTAAACAGTTGTTAAAGATTACACATATTTGACATTGTCCTGTTTATATCTAAAGGGGTTCCTGTTTTGTTCCGTTGAGCCGAGGCCTGGACTGTCCAGAGGTTAGCCCTGTGCCCATTGCATACCAACGCGTCAATGCCAGCTGGGTTTGCGCACCTGGCTATGCTGGCACTGTACAGGCAGAGATGCAAGACACTCTGAGCTTCGTTTCTTTCCCCGTTGGGTTTCAAGATCGACTTGGGTTCCAGTGCGCACCAGCGCCTTCCTCAACCCAACGGATGTATTGTTGAGCCCCTTTCCCTACACAGGAAAAAGCAAAGAGTCAAGCCACAGTTCACGTGTCACCAGGTTCCTGCTGGCATTCAACGTATGGCTGGAGACTAAATAGAGAAATAAATACCTAAATTTGTTTACAATATATATATATAATTATATATATATAGATATATTGTGTACAGTTTCCAAGAGCACTCATAGCCATGAACACACAATGATGTATACATACCGTGCAGCCCTTTGGAGTCCAGAGGAGTTCGCATGGTAGCGTGGAGCTGAGATGCAGGGTATCCCCCTGAGGAGCTCTACAAACAAAAAGCTCTTTTTATACCGGGTGTCCACGGGCGGTGCCATAGAGTTGTATCGGTTGGTTGATCATCGATTTTTACATTGAGCACTGCGCACTGTGCAACATCGACTGGCAAGCCGAGCGTTGAGCGTTGAGCATTGGGTGTTAAACATTGTGGCAGCTTGAGAGACAGTGGACAACAGCTGAGCAGAACAACAGGTTGCAGCAACAGAGGACGAATACAGAACCCAATCCAGCAACGACAGCAGAGCTCACGTTTCAAGGGCTGGGAAGAGAGTGAGAAAGAGAAGAAAAGATGGAGTTGAGAGAGGTTTTAGAGAATGTGGTCAGGTCGACCCAGGCAGCTTTGGCAGCCAATGCGGTCCAGAAAGTGCCCGGGAAGAAGAGTGAGAATATCACGGACTGGTCAAAGCTCATTACAAAGCTGCCTGCTTTTAGGAGGAGATCAAGGCCTCTCGTAAGTGGAGCTGGCTACTTGAGAAGTACTTGGCCTCAGTTGATGAAGGCTACATCGGGGCCTTAAAGGAGCTGGCAATAAAGCCGGATGACGAGATGGACCTTGCAGAGGATGAGAAGCTTGGATCAATAAAGCTGCACGGTGTTTTGGCAAGCTTGCTTAGGGGACTTTCCTTTGCAGGTGATCAAGGCTGTTGACAGTTCAAATGGGTCTGAAGCGTGGCGTCAACCCAACAAGCCTTTGAAGCCAACAGGCAAAGCAAGGAGTTTGGCATTGCTTTGCGCTGCAACTACTTGGCCAGCTTTCAACATAGGCCAAGTTTTGCAGCCGCAGCTTCTCAAGCTGGAGGAGGTGTTTGAGGAGACAGTCAAGGCTGGTTCACAGGTTCCAGAAGAACCCAAAGCGGCAATCCTCTTGTGGCGCGTTGGAGGACAGTTGAATAGCTACCTCAATGTGACAATTGGGGGTGGTGTGAAGTATTTGCAGCGAGGCAGAAGCCAACAGAAGTGGAGCTCATCGATGTTGGCCGCTTCAAGCGACTATCAAGGTCCAATGTCGATGGAGGTTGACCGTGTTGGTGATTGCCCCAAAGGCAAAGGAAAAGAGCAAGGCCAGAAGGGAAAAGGAAAAGGCAAAGATGCCACAGGCAACGGAAAGGGCGAAGGGAATGATCAAAAGGGCAAAGATGGAGATCGCAAAGGAATGGGCAAAGGAAAAGAGAAGGGCAAGAATGCGCCCGCGTGTTTCACCTGTGGCAGGCCACATGGCAAAAGGTTGCTGGCGAAATCGCAATGTGAGAAATGTGGCCAGTGAAGGTGCAGGTTCATCAGCCCCTGCACCGTCTGGCGCTACTGTTCAGACTCATACAGTCGCGGCTCCGCAAGCTTCAGTGGCGCAGCAACCAAGCGGCTTAGAGCGGAAGACCATTGTTAGGCGAGTTGAGGAGCCAGTGGCTTTTGACTTGAGGCCGAGAAGCAGTTTTGAGGAGCTTCGCAGAATTCGATTAGTGTACTGCATAGGAAACGAAGAAGAAGAGTTAGACCATGAAAAGAAGACGCAGGGAATTGAGAAGACGTTCAGGTGGCGAGAAGGTTTGGGGAAGAGGATGATGGAGACGATACTTCCACCATCATTGATAGTGGCGCAGATGTGGCCCTCTTCGCAATCGAGATGGCAGACAAATGTTCAGGTAGGATGCGTTTGATTGGAGCCACATGCCTGCAAGATGCCCAGGGGAACCTCATCCCTACAGGAGGAAAGAAGAGTGTGGAGATCGAGCTGCAGGACGTGGCAGGTGGAGGAGTGATTTCGACGGAAGATGTGATTTTCAGTTCCAGTGTCATCCAACCCATTCTGTGTTTTGGTAAACTCATGGACTGTGGTTGGGGAATGAACGAATAGCAGAGAGCAAGTATTTGAGCATGAGGATTTCAGAATGCCACTTCAAGCGCAGAACAGGACCATGATTGTGCATGGCAAGGCGCGTGCGACCAGAGACGAAGATGAAGATTGCTTAGAGGTCCCGGCTCTAGAGGCCTTGGACAAGGAGGCTGGGTGGCACTTTAATGATCGCGGTTGGAAGTCGTTGATGCCTGAATTTGTTGACCCAACATTCAATTCCAGAGGTTGAAGATTGTCCAGATTCGATGAGGATAAGGTTGGTCAAAAGAAATGGCAAGTGGAAGATGGTCGAGTATTGTGGAGCGATGATGAGGAAAGAGAATCTTAGCAGATGTTCTTTGAGGAGGAAGTAGTTGTTCCTTCGACTACGTTCTTCGCACAGGGAGCAGAACCACCTGAGGACATGGGCTTCTTTGCGGAAGGCTACAAGTGGCTTGAGGCAAGGCTGCTGGTGAAGGAGGCAGTTGAAGCAGTTGCGCCATCGCTGGCTGAGAGGGTGTCAGAATCTAGCTCGAGCCAGTTGAGACAGACAAGGTCACAGTCAATGGCATTGAGTTGACTAAGGAGTCCTCACTGGCTACACTTCGAGCTGCGCGCGCGTTTCTAGGCATCTCAACAAGCAGGTCAAAGGTGAAGGTTTTAGCTGAAGGTTTTAGCAAGACGAAGATGGAACTGCTCACACCAGAAGAACCAGAAGATGGAACTGCTCACACCTCAGAGTCTCATGGGAACTTGCTGAAGCGTCTTAGGTAAAGTGGTCAACGAAACACCGTTGGCTTGGGGTGTTCGAACTGATGCCGTTGAAGGAGGCTGAAGGAGTTTTTTTTGGCAGACTTCCCGACCATATTCTCTCTCGTATCTCATCTCTACCGGACATCGGTCAGTGACTCCCACGATCTTTCTAGCGCAGGTCTCTCTAGGAACCACATCATCCACGCGCCAAATCGAACGGCCTTGCCCCCTTCACTGGCTGCAAGCGACTCAGCGCCCAGTTTGCATGCCTGGCCGCCCGCGTCCACAAAGGATGGTCAGAACCGATTGGGATTGCCAACGTTTGCAGTCCCTCAATGAAACTCCAACTCAATGTTCTCAGGAAAGAATGGTCTCCCCACTGTGTGTTCACCATACCGGTGGCGCGTTGTGGAAACATGGTGCAACCGTCAAACTGGATGAAATTGGTGTAGCTTTGAGATTGCCTTCGTCTTCAGTGCGTCCTAGAGAAGGTCCCTTGATAGTTGAAGAAGAGAGCCCAACGAAGAGGATAGAAGAAAGCGAGAGTTGAGATGGTGTAGAAGACGAGAGTTGTGAACATTTTGCATGAGGATCTGTGCCATTTGGACGAAGACCTTCCTCGAGCACCAGAGGAAAGTGATTTCGATGAGAAGGAGGGGGACAGGGGACAATGCCGATTTGAGCGCCAATGGGCCAATGGCCATGAATGTCTTTGGGCCAGTGTGTGACCCGCCAGAGTGGGTAGACAGAGTTGCAGATATGGTGGAGGAGGAAGAAAGACTTCAAAGGATGGAGTCCTCGAGGAGCCAGAAGGAGAGACGACAAACACTCACTACCTACTTGACCACTCGGTATATGACGAGGATGCAACAACGACGAGAAAAGATGGAAGCGCAGACCCAGACTGGATTGCGTTTGCAGAGGGAAAGAGACGTGACATCTTTTCACCTACAACTTCAGGACATGTGCTCAAGATCCTGCCCACCTTGTTTTAGCAGAGGACTAGCGAAGATGAGGAAGCAAGGGCAGGAGAGAAGCCGTCCAACTTGGTTGTCTGGGTGTAAAGGCACTTGTCTTTACGTTCCGCGCGACACCTTTGAACGTTTTTGAGGGACGAGAAGACATTGCGAGGCAGAATTTGCCGGGCCAAAGAAAAGGAGCCAAAGACTGGCTTGATTTCTTCGCAAAGTTTGAGCAGAGATTTGAGGCCGGTTGAGCAAGTTGGTGACAAGATCAGTTTCCTGAGGAGGACATACACGTTGAAGCAAGAAGGTTTGATGACTCAGTCTGGCAACTACATTCAGCTGTATGAGGGCCGGTGAGAGTCCAGCAGCTGCCAGTTGACAATTCCATTCGGTTGGAAGACAAGTCAGAAGCGAACACAATCACAGTTTGGCGCCAATGTGCAGAAGTGTTGTTGGTTCAGGAACCTACTTACGCCAGGAACGTTGTGATGTGAGAGCTGCAACCAATGAACTAGCTTCCAAGATGCCACGCCCCACAGTCAAGGCAATGGGGCGTTTGAAGAAGAGGAGTTTCCCAGTCCAGGGGACGGCTTTGTGAGCAAGGGTGAACTCTTGAGACGTTCTCTGATTCAGACTGGAGTGGCAACAAGTCACACCGCCGGTCAACATCAAGAGCTTTTCGCAGCCAGATGGACTCCCGCTTTTCAGCGCAAGCCGAACGCAGAGAGTGGTCGGCCTAGTGTCAACAGCAGCTGATGTGATCTACGTCAGACTTTGCCCAGGTCGACCCTTCTGCAAGAAAGTCTCTGCGAAGAGGCTGCTTGTGGATCAAGACGGTCTGGTCAACCAATCACTCTGGGACAGGCGTGCTTTGAGGCTTCAAGATTCTTCTGGAGCCTTGAAGCTTGAGCTTATTGATTTGGAAGAGCCCGCCCAGGCTGTCTCGGATTCAGAAGTCTCACGCGCTGTGCGCGCAACAACTCTCAAGTGTGTGCTTTGGTGGACATTCTCCAAGTGCAAGGCGGTTGTACTTTGAATGGAGGGCTCGTTGGACAAGAGTCGGTTGACCGCAAGCAGATGAGAGACTAGAAGTTCATTGAACGTGGGAACGCGCCCAACCATACTTAGCAAGGACATGAGAAGCGCCAGTGGACAGTATGAAGGACATTGTTGTTGGCATCCGCGCAGGGAGCAGTGGCTTCAAGAGGCCCAGCGTCCAGAACACCTCCAAGTAGCAGCAGCAGTTCGAGAGACAACAGTACAGGGAGGCATTGAATCTCCAATCTTGAGCTGGAACAAAATGCGGTTTTCGCAGGGAAGGTTGCGCATTGCAAACGAAGATTGACGAGTTGGAGTGTTGCGCAGACAATTTGAGGTTGGTGGGAGATGAGACTGGAATTTGTAGAGATCAAGAGCTACCGTACAAGAGTCCTTCAAGATGTACCGATCGAGAAAGCCTGAAAATCAGGCTCAGAAGATCGGTTCGCGCGCGCATGCGAACCGCGCAGTATACAAAAATATATATATATTTATAATTAGAGAGAGAAAGAGAGCAATGCTGTGTTCTTGCCCGTACCACTGAAACAGTGGTAGCAGCTTCCTTGCCTGCTGCGACCAAAGACGACTACGGCAAAGCAAGGACGTGAACTTCATGAATAAGGGCAAGACTGGTAGCCGGCAACGTCGGAGGAGAAGAACCATTCTGTGGGAGATGCAGGATGTGGCGTGCGAAATGCAGAATGTTGTTTTGAAGGCGGAGTGTAAGTGCTGCGCACGTGAACGGCATTTTCTCCGGCGCTTCCAGCGCTACGCCAATGGAGCTCTCAAAGCGCCAATGGCAGCCAGCTCTTCATTATGTTTAATCAAGTTCACTGATGGAGCTGGTCCGCATCTGGCGCAGCATCCCTGACTTCAACGGCTGGAGCGCCCGATAGCGCAGAAGGATGACGCAGGAAGCCACTAAGGCTTGTACAAAAAGAAGCCTCAGAGCAGAGCCTGTTAAAGCGCAACTTCTAGAGAACCTCGAGGAGGGCACGGTCACTCCACAGTGATATGGTGGACAGGGAGAAAGCATAGCAGAAGAGGACGGAAGATAGTAACGCAAGAATGAAGCATCCTCAACCCAAAGCCAGAAGGCAGGCGCTGCAAGGGACTGTGACTTCGCGTTCTGTCCAGTTGGAGAGGATTCGTCAATTCTCAGACTCCTCAGGATGGTTATACGCAACCAACTCCACGACCGAAGTCAAGATCGCGAAAGTGTTGCCGAGACAGGCCCTAAGAAGGTCCCATGAATGAAGAAGAAGAACCAATTTGATTGGGTCTCAGGAGATGGGCGCCAGATGGAACTGTAATTGCCAGACGCAATGTCAACGTGAAGTTGCTTGCTCCACAATCGCCTTCCATCATTGTGTGCTGGCGGCGCAAGGGTGGTGAGACATGACAAAATAGGTAAGTACAGACTGCATTCTGGATTGCGGCTGCCAAGACTTCTTCAACGCCAGTTCCGTCAACAGCAGCTTACAAACTTGCAACAAAGAAGAGAAGAGAACAGGCGTAAAGAAAACACTGAAGGCCGCAAGGGCTCTAAAGGTCCAAACGAAAATGGAAGAGAAGAACGTCGAACACTTGCTTAGAGGCTTCAACAAAGAAGATGTGAAGGTCCCCCTTCGACTCTTAAAAACCCAGCCACAAACTCTTTCTTCAAGGGTTCCTCATTCAAGAGCGCTCAGAAAAAGGGACTTGGCGCACTTTCTGTTTTGGATCTCATTTTTTGGAGCTGACTCTTGAACCAGACGCCACTTGGGGCCATGCAAATCACGTCGATAAACTTGACACCAGCCGTTTGTCTAAAAAATCTTCAACCGCAAAGCAGTCTCTGAAGTTAGGTTTTTTCTTGCCAGCACCTCTTTCGATTGTTGTGTTCCGGCAGCACCTGTGCAGACTGAGCACCAGTTTCTAGTTTTGTTTTTTTTGCAACTCTTTCCTTCGCTTTTGGTTCTTGTTTGTTCGCGAAACATAGTCGAAGGAACTTATTGCGGTTTGTTGGTTTGCGGTTTGTTGGTTTGCCGGGTGAGTGCTGCCGCTCCACGCGCAGGTCGACTGCTACCTCAGCAGCTATTGCTCATCGACGGCTTTCTTGGAAGGCTGCAACGAAGAGGAGATTGACAGCGTTGACAGGCCTTGACAGGTGACAATGGATAGTTTGGCAAAGTGTGATCTGGCAGGAGCCGTGCTTTCCCATTGAACTAGACCGATGCGTCTTTGAACATACATGCGCAGGCCGGACTGCGCAGCTTCTCAAAAGTGAAGCTTTCCACAAAAATCTAAGAACCAAATCAATCGTGGGAAGCCTCAACTGTTCCGCGCCCCGAACAGTTTTTTGCTAACTAGCCACTGGCTACCCACTTACTCGCCTCACGGGACCGGCCTTATGTTGTTCAGATATCTGAAAACTATGGGGATTACTTCTCAATCGCAAAAAATCAGCGTTTTGGTCTGTTACCGCTGCGGCCCTGTCTCCCCATTGGTCTCGTCACCCTCCCCCACCGGCGTTTTGTGCGCCGCTGCAGCCTTCGCGCCTAACTTGTGTTGCTGTTTGTCTCCTGACATGCCTCCATTCTTTTCTCTTCGCTCCTTTGTTTTCGCGCTTGTTGCTTGTGTGATCTGGGGTAGGGCAGTCCAACAACTTGACAAAGAGTTGGGCTTCCAGATTGGTGTTGCGTTGTGATCAGAACCAGCAGAACATTGCGTCGGTTGAGGCTCTCGTGTTCTTTTCTCGCACTTTTTGTGCCGGGTTTTCTGGGTTTTTTAGAATTAGTATCTAAAAAACAGGTGTATTGGTTGGTCCAAAAAAACTCGACATATTATTTCTATTTTTCTTTGATGCATGTGTTTTTTGCGTTGAACATGTTGAACGCGTGGCCCCAGGTGATCAATGCCGGGTTGGTTGCAAGGCACCGTACCAAGGCCTTGCCCAGAGCAGCTCCTGTCCACAAGGCGGAGATTGAAAGAGAGAAACAGTTGAAAGAGAGGCGCAGAAGAAAAGAGGAAAGAGAAAAGGGCAACGTGAACAAAGACAGCAAAGAAAATTTTCCTTTTACATGCAAACTACGCCCTTGCTTGTTTCTGCAGGTAATGTTGTGCCCAAGCTTTGGCCAACTTTTGGTTTGCCGCAATGCAGCATTCCAGATGGCTGTGTTGACCCGTTGCCCATGCCTCTGGGCTATGCCGCTAGGCTTAATCGTTGAGTCTTTTCGCATGTCGGGTGCGTAGACAGGATTGGGGCGTGTCCGATCGACTTCCCGCGTCACTGGAGGACGTCTTGTAGGAGTGTGTTTTGAAGACTTGGCAGCCTGAAGTCTCGCGCGAAATGCTCGTTTGTGCTCCGAGCTCAGAATTATCATTGTCAACTTTATCGCTTCTGGGAGATTCGGTGCGGCCAAATTCAGTCAATGATGGAGTGTGCAAACGGGGTGTTTCGCTGGTTGGCGGAATGATGGTGTCAAGGCTTGGTGGTTGGCGGAATGACTTGTAGTTTGTGCGCCAACAAAATTACGTGCGTGATGTTGCACGTGTCCAATCCCACAACTTGTGCGACACGAGTGCCCCAACCGCCACAGTGCCACGCTCCCGTGCCCTACAAGCATGTCTTACAAGAGTGTCCCCTGCAAGAGTCAAGAGTGTTTCAGAAGAGTGTCGCCCCAGAATTCTGTTTTGGAAGAGTTTCAAGGTGTTCGTGTATGCGTTTCTGGTTCGTGGGTTCTATCAGTTCTCACACGAATGCATCACTGCTTCGATTTGCACCGTACAGATCTCATGAAGCTGGTCACAGCAAGTTGATTTTGTTCAGCGCAAGCGTGTGGATCAGTAGGGGTCCTGCATGATCTGATAGTATTTTGTAGTCTCGCATAAGGTCTTTTAGCATGTTAGAGTGGGTCTTTCTACTTCGGTTTGACGCTGGTGCCACGCGTTCTCCGCTAGGATCCCTTGGTTTTTGTAGCATGTTTGACAGTGGCCCACGGCCCATTTCTGAGGTCAAGACTGCCACAGGATGGAGATGTGCTGAAGGTTATAGTGGCCTCGTGCATGTGGCCTGTGACTTGGGTGACCAGTGCGAGCAACTGCAGCCTATTCTCACAGGACGGAGCGACGGGGCGAAAGGGGAGCCGTAAAGGCGAGACAAAGCCGAAGGAGCGCCGTCCGTGTGTTAGAATACTACTAGTAAGGCACTTGTTACTAGAAGCGATGCACTTGTTCCTAGTAGCTTCTTGTTACTACTAGTAAGGCATTTGTTACTACTAGCGATGCACTTGTTCCTACTAGTAACAGGTCCTGGCGCTCCCGAGAGAACGAGAGAACACTGTTTGGTATTTAGACGGAATGGGCTGCCATCGATCGCTGAAGCGCACTCTCGCTTTCGGAAGCACCGCTTTCGTCTGAGAGGAGTGAGATGATTCAAACAGCATTTGCGCAATGCGTGTATGTATACCAGGGTCAGCGCAAACGCGCCCAAACATTATATATTCGGATTAACCTTCAATCTTACTTAAGCGCGTTTAGTGTCAACGTAACTCCAGTAGGAGCACACTTGGGTCTGCAAATGTACAAGGCGCACTCCGTTATCCTGCCAAACGTCGACCCTTTGGCAACGCAGCTGCGTGGCAACCTGAGGTGGTGTTTGCTATTCACGGATACTCTGACCAACGTTCGCATTTAGAGAGCTGTGGCAATCGCTCAAACGTCCAATTCAGGCGTGCGCATGTTTTGAAACCTTTAAACGGTGCAGCGCCGTTCTTCTTTTCCCCAACGCCACCGAAGACGTTTACAAAAAAGGCGGAGGCGATGTGTCAAAGAGAGGCGATGTGTCGCCTGAAGGGAGCGAACGAGAAGTAGCAGAGCCTGGAGAGAGATTGAGAGAACATTCTCTTGCAATTTGCGCTGCTCCGGAAAGCGCCGCAGCGACGGTTGGAAACATAGCTATTCCAGTGTGTTTTTTCCTTTCGTTTCCCTTCCCACGCCTTGACTGAGCCGTTCTGAAAGCGAGAGTCCGGAAACAGAAGAGGAACTCAGTGGTTGCGCTAAAAGCGCAAGTTCGTTCGATTCGTGGGTCGTGGGTTGGACACAGAAACTCGGAGACGACTGCAAACGCAGAACTCAGTGGTTTGCCGCAGGCTGTAGCTTGATTCGGCCGTGCAAAATGCCCGCGGTGGACATGTGCATATTTGATCTCAGCGATGCTTGGTGATGAATCGACACTGTTATCAAGAAGCCCTCCTAAACCTGACAGTTTTTCATCGGGCTGTCCGTAGCTTTCTCAAGTTCTTTCATGTTCGAATCGTGCAAAACGTGAGGCCTGTGGTGACAAGTCGGTTCCCCACGGAACCAATTGTACGGCGCGCTGCCGTCTTCCCTACAACGGCACGGTCACTGCTGCTTTCTGTCCGGAGGAGGGAAAGAGACCGGGACTTGGAGTTGGCCGGTCAGACAGATTGGAGGCTGTTTTTGCACCCGGGAAAATGTCCAAAAACACAGGACTTAGCATTTTGGCACACTTTCTTCTACGGGCTCCTTTAACTGCTTTGTGACCCTTCAATAGTTGCTTGACACCTCTCTTCATTTCTTGTTTTGGTCGATTCTTCCTCCATTTTGCCAGTTTTGTACACAAACCATTCTGTGCATGGAAGCGTTGGGACATACGCATTCTGTTTCAGGGCAATACAGATCCTGATCAAGTGCTGATTTGGGCGCAACCGCAGTGTGAGTTGATTGATTGCTGCTTGGCGATTGGGTTTCCGGAGTTAACGTCGAGCACCTTTCGGCTTCTTTCTTCTTGTTCACTCAAGAGTGCACTCGTGTTCACTCGTCAATCGAATCAAACATCAACTCACTTGCAACTTCAGCTTGCCCACAGCTGGGAGATTTCCCGCAGCTTGCCCACTTGGCGACGAACTTGAAGTTGTCACAGAAGACGATTCCGAGTGTTCCTCAATTGGAGCTAGCATGACGAGTACCACCACTTTCGTGTCAGCATGGACGTCAAGGTGTAGGGGTACACTTGTACGCCCTTGTAACTCTGTTCGTGAGTGCAGAGAATCTCTCTCCTAGTCGCCCTCTCTGACTTTCTGTCTCCTTCGGGTTGAGCGCGACCCTGAGTACGATGAACCTGGATGAGACCTCCCAAGTCTCATCTGCGGAGGCGTGTAAACCAGAATAAATATAATAAACAGCTTCCATGTTAAGTTTCCTCAAGAATCTAGGAGCCAAATCATTAGTGCGAGCGCTTCTTCAAGGAAGCTCCCTCCCGCCGCCTTTAGGGCAGCCCGGGAGATTCCTTGAAGAAACGTGAGCTATCCTGCATCGAGAAGGAAGTATTGTCCTAGTAGCTAGGAACGAACAAGATTCTCTCTTATACTTAATTGAGTAGGCGCCTACTGAATTAAGTAGGGAGGGGGTGAGCGGGCCAAAAAAAGTGCATGAAATATGCGAGTAGCACAGAAACGACATGCACACTGTATGTTCCACCAATCTTGTACATTCTGTACATACATCGCTCACATTTGGCTCAAGACGCTAAAAGAGGCGAGTGTCTCATGGTCGGCAGACACGTTTGCCCGCAGGTTATCAGCCGTAGCGTTCTGCTACGAGCTGGGCTGAGAGACTAGCTGGACTTCGAAGAAGGACATCCTATCTAGGCTAAAAGGTCTCGGTCGCTAACCTTCTGAGATGTCAGGCATAGACGAGATGAGTGGTACGACATTCGTTCGCTGCCGCACCGGGTGCTATTACTTCACAGTCGACACCTGATTCAAAAGGAATGCCAGCAGTGATTCCCAAGCAGGAACAATCATGACTATGCCTACAGGTTCACAAGTGTCGGGAAATGCGCTTGAAGATGTGTCTATGCCTTCAAGATTGACGAGTCCTTTACAAAGAGTGACGAGAGCTATAAGATCAAGAAATGCATCGAGATCCGCATCACCAAGATCTGCGTTGGCGAGTACCAGAGGGGATATGAGACAACCGAAGAATACCTCATCGAGTTCTTGAGGGTTGCCCTCGGCACCCACGGAGCCTGCTATGCCCGCTCTGATGCCGCCTACAAACAAGGATATATCAGTCAGAGAAGCTTAGCCGATTGTGGAATTGAGATCTGCCAAGATGCTCTTTGACGTGGCTCGTGATGAATACTATGCCACACGGTGAACTCCGAAGAGTTCAACCGACACGGACAGGCGCATGTATGAGATGTGTGAACAATGCAACCATCTGGGAAGGATCATCGTTGAGTTTCAACGAGGACGAAGGAGCTACAGACCGAATTGAGGAACTTGAGAGAAGACTCATCGCTGCTCAAGAAGGGGCTACGCGCATGGCAAATCAGTATCAACATCGCAGACAACATGACAACATTGAATCAGAAGAAGCCGTACTACTGGCTAGAAGGATGACTGAGATGAATGAGGAATTGAACTACGTTGTTCATGGTGCACACGAAAGTCGTGAAGGATCAACGCCAGAGCTGAAGGACTCATGGCAAAGAATTGAACACATTGCGGACCAAATGAATCATCAAGTCCAGAACTGGCAACTCGAAAACCAACAGATTGTAGCTGAATCCCGAAGAGAGAGAGAGAGAGATAGAACAGTTCTGCCTCACCCGCAACTGGAACAACATGGTGTTCATGGAGCAGGTAGTGGAGTTCTTGCGAAGATGTGCTCGGTCGAGGAGGAGAGAGCTATCATAGAATACAACTACCAGATGACACATGGAAGATAATGACGAGTCTGCTGCTGTCAACTTTCTTAGGGAAGAACCAAATGTTGGCTACGAATCAACTTGCAGTGACAGAGATGCAAGCTCTGTGGCTTGATGAAAGAACTATGATGGAAATGCTGAAATGAGATCACAGAACAAGGTTCGACAGATGGAATACAAGTCTCAGATTGAGTACCAAGAGGCCGTTAGCTCTGAGAAGGTGTATGCAACGCATACAGAAGCAGTTTATCCGAAAAAGAGAGACTTCGCGATACAAATGTGGTTTTGAGCGAGGCCAATGAGCAACTTCGGGTCAGTCCTATCTCTGAGGCATCGGATGAATCCACTGCCTATACTCGTTTGTACGAGAAATGCATATTGGAGGAACATTGGTGCGAAGCCATGTTCAGAAAGTTGGGTGAAGACAGTAAAACGATTACTGAAATGAGGAGAGAACTGGATGAGTTCAAGAAGCAAAAGAAGGAGACATCAAGTGAACGCTTCGAGTTCTATCTCTTTGGTGAACCCAACAAAGAGGAAGCAATTGAAGAAGCTCAAGGACGTATCGAGTACTTTGAAGAACAACATCAACTTGACAAAGAGGCAATTGAGCTCTTTGAGAACGAAGCCGATTTGATTGGAACACATAGAGACGAATACTGCGAATGGTACTCTGATTCACTGAATGATTATGCCGATGAAGTTCATGAAGCTGAAGAACATGAAGTGGCCAGAGAAAGATTCAAAGTTGAACTGACCGAGGCCGCAGCGTCGTCGTCATCATCATCATCACATCCCCTGCTGTCATCTACGAGAGCTCTTCGAAAGGAATCCGAGAAGATAATGGTTCCACCACGACCTAAGCCCTAAGATTTCTGATCTGTCATTGTGGAATTGTGGAAGGCTAACCTCATCCATGCGGTCGTCGTTGCTACCATGGTCTTGACCAAAAGGTTTGCATTGAATGGATCAAAGGAGAGGAATTTGAATTCAGTGATGCCAAGTTGGGACTGGCCATGGGGGGAGAGGTCACGGATGCGAAGGAAGAGGGAAGCGCCGTGAATATGCAATTGAGGACCAGAACTGGGCAAGTGGGAAAAGTTGTGGATCTAGTGAGGGGAGGAGAAATTGTAGCAATGATCGTCAAGAACTTCAGGACTACTTCACACGTGGAAACCTGTTCAACGCTCACCGTCTCTTTCAACTACCCTGGTGATCGAAATTCAGTGCGTTTCTTCCGCGCTTGGGACGAGATTCTCAGCAACACGAAACCAAGCGATGTGCCGAATGACGACACCTTGAGAGATTGCTTGTTCAGGAAGAGCAAGAACTCAATTTTCATGGCCTTTGACATTAGAGCCTTTGAGACCATGATTAAAGGAGACCCTGAGAAGTGTTACAACTACTTGATAAAGATGATGAAGAAGTTCATCGAGAAGCAACTTGAATGATCGCTGAAAAGGAGAAGTCAGTCAAGGATCTCACAAAGTTGCTCAACCTGAAAAAAGGAGCGCCAGCACCGAAGGAGCCGAAGGCACCTGGTGCACCTCACCCCAAAGCCAGTTTGAAGAGTCAAGGAGCGCCTCCACTTGGTGAAGATGACGCAGTAGTAAAACCACAACCTTCACCGAAGAAGAGACTCGAGACAAGAGATCCGAGTAGGAGCACAAGTCAGAACAACAGAAAGATACCTTGCAAACTTCCTGGCAGGTGAACGCACGAATGGGAAGAAGTGTCCATATATGCGCAAGAAAGAGAAGGCAAGATCTACTACCCCTAAAGGAAGATCAGACATGATTCTATGTTGGAGTTGGGTGAGAGGAGAGTGCGCGAAAGGTGACAGCTGCAGATTCTTTCATGATCCGAAAGCCAAGCCAAAGTCCAAGGCAGCTCCTGCAGATGGACCGAAATCTAAGCCCAAACCGAAACCGAAAGCATCGCCAACATTTGGATGCTGTGTATCGGCTGAAGACTCCGACGATGATATGGCCAATCCAGAACATTGCTCGAATGCGAAGGATATGTGTCAGAATGTCAGATCACGCAAGAGTGTGAGCTTTGATGACGTCAATGAAGAAATCTATCTGGTTGATGTTCACCCTGATTCTAGCGCAGTGTGGAAGGAGATCGCCAAGAAGCCTCTTCGACCTGACCTGATGTACTACAAGGACTCGGACCACGAGCTCAGGAATCAAAGAAGAAAAGAACAATCCGAGTTCGATGCTTTACGTGCGCAGGCCAAGGCAATCTTGATGAAACGCTTCAGCGAGGCCAGAGAGGTGATCATCCCTGTTAACGCCAAAGGTGATATAGCAATGACCATGTCGTTGGATGACGAGGAAGGGTTGTTTTCCATTACCAAGTCATTCGTCATGTGCGTGGCAGACATGGGAGACATGGCGACATCATGGCCATTTCTCCACCTGCTCACCAACCAAGAATGCAGTTCATCATGGACACGGGATGTGGCCATGATTTGATTTCCAAGAGTAGAGCGAAGAAATTGAACCTTGATGTCGACAACGAAGGAGAACCGATGTTTTTCTACACTGCCAATGGATCACTTCCACAACAGGGACCGCAGAGATTGAGTTCAAGGAGTTTTGGTCCATTTCTACTGGATGAGACCCCATCCGTGCTGTCAGTGGGAAAGAAATGTAAGCAAGAAGGGTTTACCTTGTATGGCCAGCCATTGGGAGGCCATTTTTGCTCACCAAAGAACAAAAGGATTGATCTGGTGATCTATGTCGCCCTCACGAAAACCAAGAATGCCTGAAGATATCGTGGATCCTGAAGAGTGACACCAACAATGAAGAGCAGAAGGCCGGACAGCGTGTTGATCACATCGCATGCTATGGCACAGATGTCTTGGAAGATATTGACGGCAAGAACAATGAGGACGACAAGGAGAACAATGTTGAAAGGGAGACAAGAAAAAGGGCCAAGAAGGCAAGAGCTACTCTTGGAGGTGCAGAAGAAGAGGAAGATGCAAGTGAGGTCGAAGAAAGAGAAGAAG